CCCTTCTCCACAGTGTCTGTAATTTTCTTTCGAGCAATTTCAGACTTGTCTCCTGTAGTGTTCATGTACTTAAACCTATCGAGTTTTTAAATGTGATTAGCAACTGTCGGTAATTTATATGGTGCTCATAAGCATGATTTACTAGCATATACACTCATCTGCATTAATTTTGTTACTGTTGTGTCACATTAATTAATATGAATATGGGTGGTCTAAATAATGGCAGTTAAAGTGAAACCAGGTCCAGATGTGCCTAACTAGCCCCGAGTTGCAAATATAAATGTATAATTTAAATATAATTTGTGATTAGGAACTTAGGAAAGTAGAATGCTTCCTTTCATCTGACAATTTGCATGTTGCAACTAAATAGTTTAGTCAGTATTTATCAATTTATTCTTTTAGCCCATTATGTCCAATTGTGCACGTCTTTTGTGTCCCTGTGCCCCACTTTATTTTTTCTGACTGTCACTATTTTCATGGGCATTTAACTTTTCAATTTTTTTCCACTTAGAGAATCCACCATGTTTTGAAAGCAGACTATCGGATGTCATACACACAGATGAAAAAAGAAGACAACACAAGCAGTATGCTGCTTTATGTAGAGGTGAATACACCAACCAGGAACGATTGACCTCTCGTCCATTCAGAAAGCGTCGTTTGAACCAAAATGCAGCCATAGATCTTTGGCATCAAATGGACCTTCTTTATGTTGAAATTCATGTGCTCCAACTTTAACAATCTCTGTGCGATGTGCTTGTGTTACAACTGCTGAGCCTGTTGTATCAAACTTCATAAATCCAATATCCCTGTGTGTTAAAATATTTATCAGGTCATCCTTTTTGAGCTTAACAACACTATTCTGTGGATTTGTTTCTGACAAAGTGGAATCCTCTTGTTTATTATTATTGTAGCTTTCAACATGGCATAGAACAGTTTCTTCGTTGTTTTCTCTTTCAAATGAAATAGCAAGTTCACAATCTTGCACTTTGACCTCTTTGCTGCCATCAAAAGGAACAGATGCTGGCTTACTGGTGTCATCACTTCCAGTAAGGAAAGCTCTCATCAATTTGCTTGACTCCACCGTCGAAGCTATTTGATGCTTGGAAAGAAACTGAGTGCCGAATTCTTCTTCAAAGTGGCATTGATGAAGAGCTGCAAAGGCAAATTCAGCAAGAAAATAATAAATGTAGAGATGTACTGCGACGGTTGCTGGATTTTACCCAGAATTTTCTCTGAATCTTGCATTTCATGGAGCGCCGAATTAATCTTCAAATTGTCATTGATGAAGAGCTGCAAAGGCAAATTCAGCAAGAAAAAATAAATGGAAAGATGTAGTGTGACGGTTGCTGGTTTGTACACAATATTTAGCTTATCAGAAGCTTGCATTTCGTGGTCATACTGATGACATAACCTCAAACGAAAACCCTGGAAATTTCCTGTCACTTTTGTAGTTATTAGCAAAGTATGGTCCAGTAATGAGAGAGCATTTAGAGCGTGTTAAAAACAAGCAAACGTCAACATCTTATCTTTCTCCTGAAATCCAAAATGAGTTTATAAATCTCATGTCTTCACATGTGCGAAATTATTGTTTGTCAGCAATTCGTAGAAACAAATACTATGGTATTCTGTTTGATTCCACACCTGATTTAGTACATCGTGAGCAATTGGTCCAAGTGATTTGGTTTGTTGAGAATGGCTTTAAGACAAAAAAAGTAGAAGTCAAAGAGTCATTTATTGACTTTATACAGATAAGTGAAAAAGAAAACAATTGAGAAAACAATAAGCCCAAAATTAGAAACGGATGGAATTTTATTGAGTGAATGTTGTTCACAATGTTATGAAAATGCTGCTGTCATGTCAAATCATCTGTCAGGCGTTCAACAAAGAATTCTGAACACAAATCCAAAAGCAATGTTTATAAACTGTGACAACCATAGTTTGAACTTAACATGCCTTCATGCTGCAAGTCAGGAAACAACAGTTATTACCTTTTTTTGGTATAATTGAAGCTATTTATTATGTCTTTGCTCATTCAACAACTCGATGGGAGGAACTGCAGCAGGAGCTTAAGATGTCTGTCAAGCCTAAATCAGAAACATGGTGGAGTGCAAGAGAAAAAGCAGTAAAAGTTGTACATGAAAAACAGGATGAATTGCTAGGACGGTTAGAGCAATTAAGTGAGAATGGCAACACTGCTGAAACAAAATGTGGTGCTCATAATATTCTGCAAAGCATGCTTTCATTTGATTTTCTTGTACTTTTGCATTTTCGGAGAAATCTTTTATCATCTATCAATCGAGTGCAGAAACGTCTTCAGGACCCAAAAATGAATTTTAGAGAAGCAGCTGCTGATCTTGAATCTTTGAAAGAGAAATTAGCTATGTGACTTTGAACGATGCTGGATGACATAAATATCAAAATGGTTTACAAATTATGTAAGTGCACCTAGTAGGCTATACTTCATTAGTTCCAGGTTTACAGTTGTGATATCGTGAGATGTTATTCACAATCCTTACACAGGCCTAAAATAAAGTTGGTAATTAATTCTTTATGTTATTTTCATTAAGTGGGTAATGAGTCACAAAACAAATAATCAAAACATTTCAGAGGTGGGGGTGCCAAAATTGTCTTTGCCCCTGGGTGCTGAGAACCCTTGCTACGCCATTGGATGCACGTTATGAAAGACTCAAGAGGTAGAACATTACAAGTAGTTTTATAATTTAACAAATATTCTACTATCAAACAGTTGTGTATATTAACCCTGATGAAGCCACAAAGGCAAAACATTGGTTGACATAAAAATATATTCTTTTATATTTATCTGGAGTGTAAAGGTCGTTTTTTCAGAATTTATATAAAAAAATCTTAAATTTAATAAAAAAAACTGATGTTTTGTGTATGAAAGTCTTGTAATGTTTATTGATTAGTAAGATATGCTTACTAATTTAAAAGTTATAGCATGAAAATTATAACAAGCACAAAATGGTTATGAGGTTGGTTCATGGGACTGAGCCCGTGTCGAAAGAGTTAATACATCGTACATTGTAATTTTTTATTACATAATTTTTCCTTTTAAAAATAACATTAGTAAAATTTTAGGTTTAAAGAGTAATTTGTGCTGAAGGTTAGTGAAAATATTATAAAAGTGTTTTAAGAACAATTAAACTTAATACACACTAACTATATAAAATACCCAACCAGTTTTGATAAAATATGCCATTATCATAATTCTTTAGTATAATTACCAGTGTTAAAAAAAGATTCCTATAAAATTGTTTGTCAAAACATTTATATTGTTAAATAATTAGAGGTTATAGTTCATGTATATATATGTGGAAGTTAAAAACAAACAAAAAACAACAACTAAAATATAAGAAAGAATACACTGTTTGCTCCACAAAAGAAAGAACCTACATAGATAATGTGATTGATTAAAAAGAAAAGAGATTAATGAGAAATAAAGTCAATTTTAAAGAGAGTACAAAAAATACTTAATATGAAAATAGATATGTGTACCATCTAATGTGCTATTGTGTTCACTTTCAAAAAGCTAAGAAAAATATAATTACACATGACTTAAAAACCAGTGTGTGTGTTTGTAAACTGAAAACATGTAACTGTAAAAAAAAGAATAATATGTAATTTTGAACTTTTAATCCCAGACTTTCAAATGCATGAAAGCATTAAAGCTTTTATCCAATATATTATTATCATATGACCAGATTATTTTGTGCTAAAATATGTTTTATTGTTATGAGAGATGATACACCAGAGTGCTTTACAATATCCTTAGATATGTAATCTTTGAAAGAAAAAGTTATCTGATTACTTGCTAAAGTGACTGTGAACAATAATGTCTTAACAAATAATTTTTTCCACTCATCAGGTGCTGCAAGTGTTGCTTTTGGTGTCTTGAGAAGTTTCTCAGATTTATCAACAAGAATGCATACATAATGGTGGGTTTTCTGTGATGTGATAAACTAGAATGCTTGTGAGATTTTATTGTTTTTATTGAGGCAAATTACTTAGTGTTGTTGATGTTTGATATCTTTTCAACAGATTGCTGTGTACGGAAAGAATTTTTGCATTTCAGCAAAAGATGCTTTCCTGTTGTTAATGAGAAATATTGTAAGGTAAGACTTCTTGTCTTTCATGCTAATAAAAATTGTTTCTGTGGTTTTCATTGATTTAGTATGTGTAAAATGTGTAAATTAAACCATATTGTTACAAGTTATAGTTAACATACACATTTTGTTAATCTATTCTGTTATTAGATGGAGTTTGAACTTCTAAAAGAGCTCTGTGCTTTTTTGACTCAGACTTTAAGCTTACAAGACCTTAGAAATAGTTTTTATATTTGTGTTTAGAAGGTATATTTTTGTGTGTCTTAACATGTATCACTTCAATTTATATGTAACTAGAGAACTTGTGGACATAAGGCCCACATTCACAGAGCTGCTTTTATGCAAATTTAATTTCTTTAACAAAGTTACAAACCATAATTAGTAGGTCAACTTATTTGTTCGCTCTAATGTAAATCAATGCAAAATTCCAATAACTCCTCTTACATAAATGGCTTTTCTTGTTCAGTGCTGCCCTATATACGCAAAACATTTTTTTTGCATGCCACAAGCCTTAAGCTCCCATGTACCTTACAATTGACTGATTCACATGTGTCTTGCATGCAAATCATCATGTGGCAACCCTCCACCAATAAGAGTGCAACACACTCTCCTGACACGTGATTCCTATTCGATTCTACAAAACTGTCACTTCTCTTTAGGTAGTACTCATGTCAAGACATGTATGTTTTTTTTGCACTCTTCAAATTTAATCAACTTCGTGATTTTTCTTTAGTTCAAAATTCGAGGTAGATTTTTTTTTTTAACAGTTAACAACTTTTCAAATAACTTATTTTCCCAGTTTTATCATATATTGTTTTTCATCAAACACTTGTGTTTAATTTTCACTTTTACACAATGAATTCCGAAGATCATGCTACCACTTCGGATATCATACCTTCTCCTAGCACACTTACACAGGCTATAGGTGAGGGTGACTCATCTTTGGGTTTATCGGCTATCATTCACCGTGAGATTGATCATTATTTGAATCAACCTGCTTCTCCTGATCATGCTCCATTCTACTGAACATGCCAAACCTGTTCAGGTTGATGAGGATTTTGACAGCCATTTTCCGCCACCTGATTTTGTTGTGTCTTCTTACGCCCCTCCTGTGGAATCAGCTAGGCCTAATATGGCTTTTTTAGTCGTGATTTCTCAGGTATGTTCTATTTTATCCATTTTCCCTATTTCATATGATCCACATTTTTCTTTGTTACATGATACCTCCTCCTTTCAGTAGTTGGTTTTCCCCCTTTCCTGGATATTAGGGTTCATGCTGATCATTTTGTTTGACAGATGGTTGAGGGTGCAAGCATACCTCGCCCTCCATGTGATTCAGATCAGTTTGCCTTGGCCTACCATCAGGTTGAATGTCCGTTTCTCGAATCTCAACAGTTAGAATAAATTTTGCCTCTGAGGAAGGTGGACCCTGACCATCCTGTTTGTTTATCCCATACCCAATTTTCCCACCTTTGTCTTACCCTATCAATTCTCCTATGGTACTTACCCTATTGAATCTCCTATGGTACTTGTCTACTATCCACCTCCTTTTCAAGGTGATCGCCAAAGATCGTGAGGGGTTGTCAAGGAATTTCCCCTCTCTGATTGCCTACATGTTGGCATGTTTGGCTTTTCCAGTTCTAGCATTACACACGTCGTTTCTCTGGTATTGGGATCTCCTGGGAAGCATTGCAGTCTTGTCCCAGGTACATTTACCATCTCCTCATGTTTGGGATTTATGTATGGCCCCTTTTCTTCATTGGTATGTTTTTAGTAATATTCCTGAGACTTTGGAATCCTGTACAGAGTTGGTGCGACAGCACAATACTTTTTTTTTTTGTGCATTGTTTGTCGCATTCTGAGTCTAGACATGCTTCCTGACCAGCTACTTCTCAGCGTTTACCTGTTTCTCTCTCTCTGAGGGTTCCTCAACTCGTTGTTTTATTCACACAGATGGACACGTCAACAACAGTACTGGTGGTTTCCGATCTAGTGGGAGCTCACCTACCCAATTTTATTCATCTTTTGCAACCTTTCACCACAGATGTTTGGGTTATTTGGGTTTCAACCAAGGGACTTGTCTTAAAATTTCTGTCCTCTACTCCATTATCTCAGATACTCACTTCCTTTCCATTACTTGGGGTCTTTAGTCCATTGCATCTCTCCCAGCAGGCCATTGAACCTGTCAATCGTCCTTTTCTGAGATTTTATTCCAGGCTGCTTGTAGTTCCCAAGAAAACTGGCAGCCTGTGATCGATTTACTCCACCTCAGTAAATTTTTGGTTCTTTCCCAATTTATCATGGAGTCTTTTCTTGCCTTCAGGTGGGCTTTTTCTCCGGATTTGTGGATGACCAAGATAGACATTGTGAATGCTTACTTGCATATCATGATATCTCATCTGTCAAGAAACTATCTTCAGTTTGTTTATCATGGGGTAGGTTATCAAATTCGCAGCCTGCCCTTCAGGCTTGCTTTGGCCCCATATGTCTTTTTTTTTTTGGGTGGTCAAGGCATTCATGTGACATTTACATGCTCATGGGTTGCTCTTCCATTATTACATGGACAACTGGTTTCTGTTTGCTCATTCCAAACAGGATTCCACCCATCACACTTATCGACTGCTCATGGAGGCATTTCTTGTGGGCTGGTTAATCAAACTGGAGAAGTCATTCTTTATACCTACCCAATATTTTGTCCATTTGATTTTTTGTTTTATTAACACTCATCTCATTCGGGCCCAATTGTCTCAGCTTTGACTTTGTTTGATGGAGCTTTCAGTTCTCCACACCCTTACTGCTCCCTCTCTTACAGCTTCCAAAATTCTATTACTTGTGGGGATGTGGTCTTCCATGGTAGCTCTTATCCCCTTGGGTCGAGCACATATGCAGTCTCTTCGGTGGACTCTGCACGAACAATGGAATTTTGCATAGGATCCATTGGAGGCTCCTATTTCCCTTCCTCCTTCCCTTGTAGATGATCTGCATTGGTGGTTGGACAAGGCTCACACATTGGCAGGTGTTCAACTTCCTCCTCCTTCTCTGGATTTACATATCTTCATGGATGTTCCCTTAAGGGCTGGGGTCCTGGGTCAATCAGCAGGAAGCTTCAAGTCAGAGGTCTACACTTTCTCTACTGTTGCATTCCTTTCAGATTAGTTGTCCACCTCGGCATGCTGTTCTTCAGGATTGGAATGTTAATGTGGTAATTCACTGCCTCACTTTGCCTCCATTTGAACTGCTGTTCTTGTGCTTGATTTTCCACTTATCCCTTAAGACTGATTTCCTTCTCCTCTTAGCTTGTGGATGTTGTAGGTTGGATTTATTTGCCATCGATGTTTCACATACTCGATGTCATTACACATATATTCTCCTTTATCCGGGTTGATCTTTCCTCTCCAAAACTTCAGTGGCTCGGGAGGGTAATTCTTCCTTCTTGCCAATTTCCCTTCCTTCCATTTCCCACCTTCATCCTCAGTTGGATCCAGATAGACTACTATGTCCTGTCCATGCTCTTTGTTGTTATGTTGCCCAGACGGCATCCTTCCATAGTGCCCATTCCCACCTATTCATTCCTTGGCAGACATCCTCTGTTCGTGACCTTTCTCCTTCCACCCTGACCAGTTGAGTTCAACTTTTAATTCGATTGGCTTATTCTTCCTTATTGTCATCTTCCTATACTTTGTTCCAGGTGTCTTCTCATCAGATCAGGCACCTAACCTTTACACTGGCATCTCATCTACATCGTCCCATGGAGCATGTGAACTACTCCACATACACTCATACCTCACTATCTGCATCAGTTCACTGTATCTTCATCTTTGGGTTATTCTCTTCTGCCTGGAGCCATTTTTCAGACTTTGGTGAGACTGTGACTGGGTAAGTTATCCACATCTCTTCTTTTTCAGGGGATTTTTTTTATTTACTACACACACACACACACTGTCTGCCTGACCAGGTATACTTAAAAATAGTCAAATCTGCACTGTAAGGCCATGACAATTATAATTTCCATGGCCACTATATGCACACTTCTGAGATTTGGTGTTCACAAGATCACTTGTAGGTTTGTCCTTGTGATATATTTGCTTCATTAAAATGCCCATCCCAGACCGTACTCACCCGTGGACTTCTTGGGTAAAGCAGAAGGGGGCCATGCTTTGGATTGAATAAATCAGATGTGGTCTGCTTTTCAAAATAGGGTTTTCTTGGTCACCCATTGCACTGCCTCAGATGTTGTCATTTCTCCTGACTCTCCACCACAATTTATCCCCCTTTTTTCTTCCAGTGACGTATGGGAGTCCTTACCACTTTCTAGTTCCAAGCCATTGGTGTGGTGGACCATGAAGTCATCCTCCTGAATGTGATAATGATAAAATTCTTCCTCAGTGATTTTATTATACCGAAGATGTTATTGTGCTGGGGGTGGTTCCTGTCAGTTTGGTTTTAAGAGGGACAGTTTACATTACAAAGACATGTTTACGATACTGGAAGGCAAGATCCCAAAATGGTTGATCATTTTCTCACATTGCTATTATGTGTCATGTTCATAGATCAGGGGAGTACGAGATTTTCTACGGTCTGATTAACTTGAGGTGAAGATAGTATGATCCTCTTTCCTACCCCCACCAGATGGCTGGATTTTGGATCGTAGTTGACTTGCCGCCAGTATGATCCTCTTTCCTACCCCCACATGGATGTCAGTTCCCGGTGGCCAGGGTTTTGGATTGTAGTTGACTTGCCTGCAGTATGATCCACATCCTACCCCTGCATGGATGTCGGTTCCCAGAGGTTGAGTTTTGGATGCAGTTGATTTGCTATGTATGGTCCATCATGCTCTAGCCACTCTGCACCTTGGGGCACATCCTTTTACTCATACCCACATTGATGTATTCTAAGGGATTGAGATTCCAATATCGTGTGGTTCAGATCTTTATCCAAACACTGTTCTCTCCCTTTTGGATGGGCTCCTCCCAATTTCTGCCCATGTCTGCGATCACTTCTTTCTACAC